GAACTGCCCCAAATCAGCCCCAAATTTTCTCAATTTGCCCAAAAACGAGGGATTTACCCCAATGACTCTCCTGGCACCGGCCTTGGCAGCGAACATGCAGAGGATGCCAGTGCCACTGCCCACGTCCAGCACCACCTTGTCCTTGAAGAGGTGCCGGTTGTGGAACATGGAGTTGCGGTAGGTCAGCGTCCTCACCTCGTCCTTCAGCATCTCCTGCAGGGGAAAAACCACCCAAAAATCAGTGGGAAATGAGAAATTCCAGGTGGGATTTATGGGGAGGAAAAAAAAGTGAAATTCCCAGCGAAAACGGAAAAAATCCCAGCAAAATCGGCTGAAATTTCAATAAAATTTGATGATTTTTGCTCAAAATCGTCCCTAAAATCCCCTTTCATCCTTCCCAAATCCCCTTTAAACCCCCCCAAACTCCCTAAGAATGAATTTTGGGTTAATTTCAGGTAATTTTGGGTTAATTTCAGATAATTTTGGGTCCATTTCAGGTAATTTTGGGTGTATTTTGGGTCAATTTTGGGTGTTTTTGGCACCATCCTGGACATGAAATTTGACATAGGATCCAAATCCATCAAAAATCCCCCCTAAAATCCCCTTAAAACCCCCCCAGGAGGGATTTTGGGTGAATTTCAGGTGATTTTGGATTAATTTCAGGTTATTTTGGGTTCATTTCAGGTGAATTTTGGGTTAATTTCAGACAATTTTGGGTCAATTTTGGTGATTTTTGGCACCTTCTGGACACGAAATTTGGCTTAGATTTCAAACCCAGCCAAAATCTCCCCTAAAACCCCCACAAATCCCCTTAAAACCCCCCGGGGATGGATTTTGGGGTGAATTTGGGGGATTTTGGTACCTCGTGGATGCCGAAGTGGGCGTAGGAGTCGAAGTAATAATCCTTGGAGGTCATGTCCTCGGCCGAGGGCTTGGCACTGCCCTCCCCGGGCGGGCACGACACCTGCTTGGGGAGGGGTCAAAGCCTTGGGTCCAACACTCACAATTCATACCAAATCCCACAAAAATCCCATAAAAAATCCCATTAAAAATAGCCAAAATCCCATTAAAAACATCAAAATCCCATTAAAATCCCGTTATTCCCAAGGGCCTGGCACTGCCCTCCCCGGGCGGGCACGACACCTGCTTGGGGAGGGGGCAAAGCCTTGGGTCCAACACTCAGAGAATCGAATTTGTACCAAATCCCACCAAAATCCCAGTGAAAATAGCCAAAATCCCATTAAAATAGCATTAAAAATAGCCAAAATCCCATTAAAAA